CATAAAAATCACGCAGTTTTCTTTTTATTTATTTTTGCAATGTTAAGAATTTTTAAATTTTAGCATACCGCTCTTACAGAAGTTATTTTCATTCCAAACTGTTAACTACTTTTACGCGTTACAAAATTTAATGAAGTATTTGTAGAAAAAGGACTTTATTGAAGCAAAAGGAAGGAGTTCAACTAAACATTTTTCGTTTTATAAGTATAGCTCACATTATTCGATTAAAAAACAATGGTTTTAGTACCTTCTATCTAGGTACTAAACAAGACAGATGAATATGAACCAAAATTACTCAAGACAAGTGTACAACGCACTAAAACGTTTTAAATGTTGACTGTAAAATCCAGATCAAATTACGTTATATAGTACCTCCATTTTACCGTAAAATTTATTTTCACTGTAAAATATTATATTATAATTTTTACAGTAATATTTATTTATTTAGAGATTTTATTATAAAAATTACAGTATGTCAGATTTTTTGTACCGTAATATGTTCCGGTAAAATTGGATTTTACGGTAGAAAGTATCGGCATCCTAAGTGCCGGTACTTTGTTTCGTAATTTGATACGAATTTGTTATAGTGTACTTTATATTTTATTGAATTTAATAATCGGCACGTGGCAGATAAATTACAAAAAGGTGATAGCCGAGAGATTCCAATTTCCCGTTTCCTAGTGATAGCACCATCACATCTATTACTAATTACATTATTACATAACACGGACAAGCTCCAAAATACATATGGACGTCTGTTCAACGAACAAAGTGTCTACTGACAATTATTCGTGAAAGAGGAATAAATATTCTCTTAATGTAGCAGTGAATAATTTCCGGTTTTAATCATGTGCAAGTGCTTTGTGTTACTGGGCAGAAACTTTAATCAATAACAAGGTTTAAACGCTTGCATATGCAGCTATGGTTTTAGAAAAGCGCACTACCAAGCAAAATATAACAGATCGACTGTACGAAGCGAAATATTCCTCTCGATATTTCATATCGTAAAGTTAAATACTATTACTCTATAGTTTTTCTTAATATCTATTTTTCTGATTAAAAGTCTTTCAAAATTGTTCCTCAATTATTAAACATTTTATGAAAAAGTTTCAACATTTCACTTTGTCGAAAATTGCTAATCTAAATTGCTTTGTAGTTTTTCCTATTATCTTTTTTAAAAAGTCTTTCATAGTTGTTTTTAAGTTCATGAAAAATATTTATAAAAAAATTCCTTCGTGAGTGATATATATTTTTGACAAAAAGTAGATTTGGTTGTTGGTAAGCAATGTTTTTTCGGGGAGCTTGGGTTGCTTTTTCCTACCCGATGTCACAATCTTTGTTTGAAACACCGTTTTCAACTGAAAGAACTTAAAAGTTTTTTAAGTATTTTTTTGCCAAATAAAAACAATGAAGTCAATTATTATTTTTATTTCTCTGTTACTAAAATAAAGTGAATAATATTAGCAAAATTTGAAAAAAGACATTTTTGACATTTTACAAAGCATCTTAGAATTAAAGAAAATTTGGTTTTGAGTAGTAGGAAATAATTTAAATCGTATTAAGGAGACAACAATAAGGAGAATATGAGATAATGGTTTCTTGAAAACCTGCGCATAGTGTGCAATGATGCATTCTCTTCAAGCACGCATACGTTCAATGCACGATTTTTTTTATTATCAGTTTATAGTTTTTTTTTTCTGAAACAGTGTTGTTTTTAAATCACCCTCATGCCAAGTCTGACAAGCAGGGTTGGCAAGATATTTTGCCGCCGGTGGAAAAAACCATGGTAAATACCGGTAAAAACCGCCCTGGCAAAAAGTGGCAAAAACCTGTATTTTCCAAGATGAGAGGACAAAAACACATTTTTGATACAAAATTGTTACTAAAATTGAAATATATACTATAAATATAAATAATTACAAAAAAATTAACAAAACTATTGTTCCATAATTTTACCGGTTTTTGCCACTGTCCTGGCAAAAAAACCTTTTTGCTGGCAAAAACTCCAACCCTGCTGACAAGTATTTGAATATGGAATTTAAATAGATAAAACTGATTACTGCATCTACTAAATTAAATTACGTTCAAAATATCATGAATTTAAGGATTTCTTTTAAATACAATTTAAAAACTCATCAAAATTGTAAGAAAAAAAGAGACAACAGTCATTTAAAGTCATTTAAAAATAATTGAAAATATATTTGTAAAAAAAACTATGGTTTAAAAAACCGGAAAAACAGATAAATATTTTTTAATGTAATAAAAAAATTGCTTAAATGTAAAACTAATAATTTATTAATAATTTTTTTTATTACCTGTAATTAATCCGTTGACAGAATCTATATAATTATTTCTTTAAGAAAAATATTTTTATAAGCTCTGAACTGGGATCTTGCACATTCTATATAAAAGAATTTCCGCATTTTCATGACCAACTTCATGATTGAGATAATGTAGTCGCCATTGCGCACAGGCCACATTTTTTTATCGAACAAGCTAGCATCCATCGATCTGAAACTGAATAAAATTCAAGACACCACTTGGGAATGAATCCCCAATCCAACGCAATGACAGTTCAGTGATTTAACTACTGAGTTATCATGGCTCACACATTCCATACAATACAGTAAAAATAAGGTTTGATTAACAACATATTTGAAAGGTTTCCTCTTTGTTTCCTCGTAAAGAATTAACTAACAATTTGGATGGAATAATTTGAACAATTTTCAAAGAAATTTGTTATAAGCTGATATGAATGACAACTAAAAAGTAAAACTATTGCGACGTCAGTAGAAATAAGAAAATCTATTTAACGTAAGTGTAGTTTTTCCTAATTAAAATAAATTAGCTTAAATCCTTAACTAAAAAAAAATATAACAAACTTTTTTTAGATTAAATTACAAAAAAGAACTTCCGTATTCTTTAGCAGATTGAGTTTTAAAAAAAAAAGGCTATTATAAAATTCAAAGCGCAAAAAAGAAAATATCACAGTAGCCAGTACTGGTAACTTAAAACGGCAAAACCTTTCACACCCTGTCTATAAAATGATTTAATTACACTCTAGAAGCGCTGCCAACCATAGCCTTCTAGTTTCTTCTTGCTGCCACCAATCAGAATATAACTTTCTTTAAAATCTTAAAATAAAAAAGAACAGCAGACGATAATAAGAAAATAAAAAGAATGAACTGCGGAGAGTAATCTAAAGCTGAAAGTAACATCTTACGAAAGCTGGTGGTCTGTAAGGAAATAAGAAAGCCAATATTAAGGCAAACTGCGAGAAATGATATAAAAAAGAGTTACTTTCTTCGGCCAAGCTCGAAGACTTCTTTTATCAATTTTCGTGTTTTGTTATTTTAGTTTCTTTCTTCTTCTTAGTTCGCCTGTTGAGTCAGTCTACTCCACTGGACCGAATTTTTTAACGATTTTTTTTTTCTTTTCTTCCCTATCTCCGCTTTCGAAGCACTGGAGTGCGAAGTGGATCTCCTAGCGAAAAACATGATCGCCAGATTTAAGGGCAATTTCATGCCGGGGCTCTGTTTACTTATTTATTTATTGTTTTTGTTCTTTTGAGTGATGGGATACAAGAGATGGCAGCTTTTGTTTATTTATAAAAATAAGAAAAAGATAACATTTGTGCTGTAATATTCTATAAACGCCATCTGTGATGAAATGCTTTATACTGTTCGTGGTGATGTTGAGCTAGAAAATTAAAGTTTGCATTTCAAATTTTTTTAAGGAAAAGCAGGGAATTTCGTTTATATCTATTTTTATTAGTAATTATATAATCATTCATACATGTAATGTGAATATAAAATATTCTATCAATAAATATTTTACTTCGTAATTTGAAAATTTAGAGTAACAATTTGATCTTTTTATGATAAAATAAGATTATTTAAAGTTTCTTTCATTTAATTTTCCATTTTTAAAGCTTGTTCAAATTAATGTTTAAAAAATAAATATAAAATGTACACTAAACTAAAAAAGAAATGTATAAATTGCTTGACATCAGCAGCACACACAACGATATGCATATTAATAAAGTAACGCATGTGGTTTTTGCATACAGTGCCAAATTAATCTAAGGTCTGAGGAGCCCTAGCCTCATGTCCTACATTTCTAGGAACCTCCTAAATAATAATAAAAAAACTGTATTTTTCGTTAAGAATTGTCAATTATTGTAATAAGTTAACGAAAGTCAAATAAATATCAGCTCAAATGTATCATAATTTATTTAGATTATACATAATTTAAAAGCATTTTATACATAACTGCGTGCAAATTTGCCTCATAGTTACGACTAATGGGCCACGACAATTCTGTGTACCTACAGCTCCCTTATTTCCAAATAAAGCTATTTGCACATGCAATGCGTGAAAAAAAACATGCCTGAATAACTTTCAATCTAATGATTGCAGTATTACTTCCTAATATGTAATCTTATTGATTTGATTAGTATAACTAAAAAATGCGCTAATTTATCAATTTTAATTTAAATTATCAGACACCAAAGCATACTTTTTCGATATATACAGACTTCTTTTTTTACAGTTTTGATTTTTGAATCTCAAAATACGAAAGGTAAGCGCAAACTGTCAATTATGGTCTATTTTGCTGAAAGAGCAAAAATTGAGACTCCTGTCAATCAATTTGACTTTTCCTTAATTTCTTTATTTTTAAAAACTATTTACGCAAATCAAATATTTTTGAAACCGTTATAAAACTAACAAAGGTCAACCGTACTCCATACAAAAAAATTATTTTTTATAATTAATTATTATTTTATATTTTAGTGTAAGCAAAATTTTTAAATCGTAAGAAATACAAGTTCTTTTTTTACATTATCTTATACAACGTATTATTAAATGGCATTATACATTAATTTCTCAAAAAATAAGAATTATGTTTTTTGATCAAAAATAGGAAATACCAAAATATGCTCTATTGTAACTTCTATCTGAATAGTTTTAATTCCATTAATTTCTTTGATTTCATTCTAGATTGCCCGACTTTGAACAAAGTGATCTGGGATTCTGCCAACAATACAGAGGAGTGGCATGTTCGCAACTGATTGGCAACAGAACAGTTTATGTGAAAGCATCCATGACCCTTAACCAAATGGAAGAAAAATTAGCAGCAATTTTTACGATATTAGCGACTGGTAGAGTAAGTAGATTTCTTGCGTTGTTCAACTATTTCAATTACTTAATTAAAAATATCAATTGTGTAACACTTAATCAACACTAAGTGAAGTACATTTTAAAAAATTTTGGCTTGACCAAAAAAATACAGCCCAACTTATTTTTACCGCTCTGCAATTTACTTTTAATCTTATCTTTTGTGTTTAAATTTAGGACATGAACTAAAGCCCGCTTCATATTTGTAGGAAAAAATTGCATTTTTACATTTGAGTTTAAACTAGAATAAGGTCATAAGTTGTAATAATAATAATAATATTGCATGTGTCAATATTGAATTATTTACTTTATTGTTACTAACAATATTACGATGATACCCGGAGAAAACAATTCTGGTAAAATTACCGGAGGGTATGGTAAAAAAAATATAATTCAGGTTATTGAAATGACAATATACGGTATTTAAATCATTCATTTGGTAACTTTTCCTTTCTGGTAACAGTTCACTGGATATTGTGGTTTTCAAAATTATAGTTCTTCTTATCACACAGTTAGTAAAAAAATACAAAACTGAAAAGTAAATTTAACCGTGTGCGGAGGTACCTTGTCTAAAATACCAAACTAAACTAAATTTACCAAATTTTATCATGTATATTAAAAAGTCATATTATATTGTTAATTTTACGAAAATCACTGCCAAAGTGCTTCTATAAAAGTTACCGAGCTTTTTTGTGTTCTCATAAAGAAATAAATTGTAAATTTTATCTTATTCTGGTAGTTTTGCCTATACTTTTTTCTCTCAGTGTAGTATTTTACTATCGGTATTTATAGATCGTTTTTATAATCAGAAGGTAAAATATATTATATTTCAATTCACGTATTTTTATTTTTATTTTTTGCAACGCCGTTTAAATTTAATGTTTAATTTCAGTGATACTTGAAAAATGCAATTAATATTACAAACAATGTATTAATTTTGCAAGTCACTGTTTCTATTTAGAAAATATGCTTTTCGACATTGTCTTCGATGCTCACCCACTTTTATACGGTTGATCAAATTGAGTTTTGTAGGAAAGTTTTAAGAAAACACTAATGCCTTAAGTGTGATTTGCAAATTGAGTTAACTATTGGTATTTTACATTGTGAAGTAGGTCGACCATTTTGTAATTTTAAAGAAGATTGCCTTGTTTGATGCATATGAAAATTAGAAAAAAAATTAACACTCTGAGTTGATATAAATATTAAAAGAAAGCTTAGTGGAAGGACGTGCCAAACTTCATCCTAAAAATGCTAAAATTTTCGGGGTTAAAAATATGTTTTGATGTAGACTATAAAAAATATAATTTTTAAAGGGAAAAAGATACTTCCCTCTGATACTATATGTAATGGAGGATAAGTGTGGTACTTGATGTAGATGGATTTCTGTTGGTTATGACAGGAATCACAAAATTAATTAAAGATGTCTGATTGAAGCAGATGATGTTAACAGTGTCATAATCATAATAATCATTATTTCGTTGCAGACCTCGAGGGGCAAAATAAAAAGAACATTGTAATCCATGTAACATATCAAGTAAAATAATAAATGTTACGAGAGAGGAATAAGGACAGGCCATGAGAGATAAATCTACTATCTGCTTCATCAAAAGCCAAATCATAAATTATATTTAATCAACGTTTTGTAGTAATGTAGAGGGCGCGTTATTGAAAAAGGATTCCAGCAAAAATAAAACCAATTCAGCAAACCTCACGATATGTCATGCTAATTTTTAAGTAATTTAGCTGAAGATTTAAGGCCAAGCAGTTCGTTGAAAATAAAAATAAACATAATAACTTATATACTAATGCTTAATGTAGTTTTAGGGAGAATGGCTTTAAATGGATTTTGATACTCAGTTGTCGTGTGATAATAATTAGTTATACATTTGCATTAAAATAAAAAAATAGCCGTTGAAATTTAGTGAGAATAAAAATATTTGTATTCGCCCTTTATAAAATTGAATTAAAATTAACTGATTTGTTTATTTAAAGAGGGGTTAGACGTGATTAAATGTATTAAATAAAGCAAATTTAAAAGCTAGGAAATATGTAATGCCTAGAATGGCATAACACCATAAAAACTGATATTTCAAAATGTTATGTAACACTTTTTCCAATACGCACTTCAAGTGTAAAGTATAAGCAAATGCATTTTGATATTTATATTCTTAAATGTTTATTTTATACAGATTAATAATATGACCTTTAAGAGGTGACGCACAGTATTTAAAACTGTGCTTAAGTTTTTTCGCCATATCCCTAATTGCAATCTGTTTAATCGGCGCGACTGTGTTTTGACTCATATTAGTTACTTATGACCCCTATAAGTTCTAAACTAGCGAAAATTGAAAAAAAAAATTTTTAATTAACTGTGAAATTTTTTTTCTTTGTGTTAGGAAATGAGTCCAGAATGTCATAAATACGCTGTCCCTTTCTTTTGTTACGTCATGTTCCCGCCATGCGACGATACCATACCCTATCCAGTACCAAGACACGTGTGCCGAGATGACTGCGACACTCTGGAAGCTTCAACTTGCAAAGAAGAAATGGCCTCTGCTAGGAAACATCCACTGCTGGCCAATCAAGATCTTGTTCCAGAATGTGAGGAATTACCCTCGCCTAATCATCAAGAAATATCTGGTACTTTCATCATAGGAAAGGATAATCAAGGCAACTGCATCAATCTTAATGTTCCTAGCGTCATTCAAGTAGATCATGGTAAGAAAATTACAAATTTTGAAGTTTGAAAAATTATTCGTCAGAATACTAATTAAAATACTAGTAAAAGCATTAAAAATATAATACTTTCAAACAATTTATTTTTCCTTATTTGAAGTTGCTGAACATTCACCAAATCTTTTATAGTTATAGTTTTATCTTTAAGGAAATATATTATTCTCTCTTTTAACAAAGTGTACTTTAAAATTACTTTACAAGCCACCTTTATATATGACTTATTTTCTATTTAAAAGTACTTGAATGGAAAAATTTAAAAGTCGTACCTATGCTAGAAAAATAAATAAACAAAAATTTACAATCACATTTCAAAAAAAAAATTCGAAAGAATAAATTAGTCTTTTTTTTTAAATTCTTTTAACCTTTTAGTTTTATAATTTTACTCAAAAATAATTTATATAAAATACGCTCGAATAAACCGAAAATAATCTGCATAAAAAAAATTAAAAGAAGAAAGATGAATATTGGATGATAGTTAAACTATTCATACATATTTCAATTCAAAGGACTTCAAAATTATTTAATATATTCTGCTTATATCTCTCATACTATTTCTATACAGAAATTAATCTATCCATTAAAGTTACTTGGAGGAGAAAGATTTAGAATATTGTAAAATCAAATACCAACCTATTGTTTTGACTTTTAAAGATTGAAATTAAAATTTGAAATACAGGAAATATATTCCATGTTTAATAACGTTTATATTTTCTAAAAGGAAATTTATCAAAATTAGCTTTCAAATCTTGAAAAACTTGGAGCCTATTGCGTTGGGAATGATGGTTTTAAATTTGTTATCATATAAAAAAATAAAAACTTTAAAGTAAAAAAATCAAATAATTTTTGCAATAGCTTTTGAATTTTAAGAATAAAAAATTGACTAAAATAAAATTAAAAGTTTTGATGGAAAGAAATTATTACATATGCCAGTTGTGTCTTTAAAAGGTAATTTCTTAAAATTTGTGTCTTCAAAAAATGTTATTACACAAATAATTAAAATTTCAACGTAAGAAAAAAGCAACTAATTCTTTTGCCTAGTTTCGAATTTTCAAAATAAAAATCAAATTAAATTAAACAATCTAAGCGGTTTTTATGGAAATAAATTATTCGAAAACCACTCGTTTAATCTAAGCGGTTTTAATGGAAATAAATTATTCTAAATCCACTCGTTTGCTAGAATTTTTTTAAGTTGTGCTATACTATACATGTTTATGAAAATACTAGTAACTAAAAATTTTTTGGAGAAAATAGAAATTCCATTAAAAAAAACCATTTTAGAAATTTTGAGTTAACGCAATTTTTCTATGCAAAATTCAACTAGTTTTCGATGAGAAAGCCCAGAGAATATATGCATCTTGCCTTATGGCTGACTACCTCACCCAGAGCCGTATTATACCTTTCGTAGGCCCTAGGCACAGAGCCGGATTATACCTTTCGTGGGCCCTTGGCATAGCCGTTTTTGGGCCCTCCCCTCCTTCCCCACTCCTCCCCTTTTTTCAAAATATATGCTAAAATTTTCCTGCATATTTTTTTTTACATTTTTATTAGTATGGATTTTAATTTACAAATTTGTTTATCGAACTTTATCTGCAATACCGACATACTGCTGATATTGCAGTTGATATCGATAATACCATTATGATTAGTTCGATCGATAACAATGTTAAGGATAAACTTGTGAATACTTTTCCTATCGTTCACATTGCGTTAAGTATATATTTGTCGATTCTTGGATCAAATGCAAAAGGAGAAAGATCTTTCTTTAGATTAAAATTGATAAAAAATTATTTGCGTTCAACAATGATCGTTTGGCATCGCTCGCACTTATGTCTATTGAATACGACATTTTGCGTAGTTTTGGAATTCGACAGCTAATACAAGATTTCGTTGAATCCAAAAATCGCGAAAAAGTAATATATTAGATCATAAGATTCTGCAAAATAATTTATTACCGAAAAATATTATATTTTTATATGTATCTTCAAAATACACTTGTTGTTTTTAAAGCTAAATTATTTTTGTCAACAAATTTTTTTCTCCCAAGTTTTTCGTAGGCCCCTGAATTTCGTAGGCCCTAGGCACGTGCCTAGTGTGCCTATATGTTAATCCGGCCCTGACCTCACCTCTTATAAAATAAAAGAAAATCTTTCATATATATCAATAAAAACAAATTCCATTACATTTCCCTTAAAAAACGTGTAGTAGAGTTTCTTGTTATCTGAAATTAGTAGGCAGCAACCATTGGCTTTGCAATACTATACAGTCACAACAGTACTTAAAATTTCGCACATAAGAAAACAAATTTCTTAAATCTGCTAAATAACTGCAAGAAAATTAATTATATTTACTTATTTCTTGTTTAGATAAATTTAAACCAGTGATTATTCGTGAAAATTTTCGTTATCTGTCTCAAATATTGATGACTTTGAGAGGCTTAAACATAAATTAGACATATACTCAACGTCACCCCCACCAACGACGCCCATGGATGCAAATAATAATAAATTTATAAATAAACTAAAATATTCGCTCATACTGAGTAAATTAAAAAAATCTAACATAGATATATATAATAAAATGAACTGAATTTTTAATAGTTGAAAAAGTATAAAATATTTTAAAAACTAAGCGAAAATTGTTCACGAATGCATCTTTCTTCAACAATAAATAATAAATCACTTTATACCTATGTAAATGATATTCATAAATGCACATTTCTATAGAAATTTGTCATAATCGATATGCAAGAATATATTTTTACTGAAAAAGGTAGTCTGAAACAAATTAACTAATGACAAAAAATGCTTTTAAGAAAATTTATTCAGAAATTTGAAATCATAACGCTCATTTACTTATAATTCAATCAATGAAGTCACCGTGATTTAAGAAAACAATTGTAATTCTTTTTTCAAACATATATTATTTTTACGATTAAAAAATGAATTTTAATAACGTCTGAACAGAATATTAAATCATCGAATATTAAAAAATATTATTTTAATATTTTTTTAAAAAATATAATAATTTATTCCCTTCTAGATATTAAGCGAAAAATTTCCTTATCTTTTTCTTTTAGCAAATTTCTTTTTTCAATTTCAAAACTCATTTTTAAGAATAATTGAATAAAATCGGAGTTAGAAATAATGGAAACTGTATTAATTTAAGATAAATTTGTTTCAGTTTTAGAAAAATATTTCATCAAAATAAATGTTTTAGCTGAATTTTCTCAGCATTAAAATTTAAAATTATGCTTTTAAATATTTTATCAAATGTTCTGTTTTTAGATATATAGATATATTTCTCAGACTAAGAAAATCAGTTTTAAAAACCATCAACAATTTAAAGTAGCTTTATAATTAACTAGAAAAAAGGTTTACTAGACAAAGGCTTTTTTCTGAATACTTTATTTTGATGTATATGAACGTATTTTGAATTTTACTTCTGGGGAAATAACGAAGACGTAAGCTTTTCGAAACATTATACTGTATGAGTCAGAGTTTTTGAGTTTTAAGTAAAAGCGCAATTTTTTTTTAAACTGCTTTATGTTTTCGTAATGACTCACTTAAAGAATAGTTTTAATACAAGAAAAATAATTTAATTTGTTTTTTCGAAAAACTTAAGTAGGACCAAAAAATTCTAATCTTTATTTCTGACGTCACATCACCCCAAGTAGGTAGTAAATAGTGTCAAGAACAATTCTTTTAATTATGAAAACAATTTCAATTCTTTTTAGAGAAAGTTAGATTAAAAATATTTTAAAAACAGCTTCGTGAATTTAACAACAGAATCTGAAATCAGCGAAAATTTAAACTAAGTAGTTGTTTCAATGAAGCACAAAAATTATTTATTCTACTTCAAAATCTAAAAAGAATATATTTTCTTTCTTCCGTTTACTTTTGAATACAATGAAAGAAAATTAAAAGAAAAATTTCGCCAAGAAAATATTTAAAACTCCCCCAAGAGATACCTGAATTACTATTAATTAAAAAAGGAATTATTTGGAATTTGTAAGAGGAAAATTGTGCTTTTTTTTTTTAATCATCAGTCCGGATCTCGCAGCGTATTTTATTTCAGTTTTTATCGAAATGATTTTACAAAAGTAAGTGATGACACAGCTCCATTTACTTCTTTATTTTATTTCATCAAACATTTCTTAATTTAAATAAAAATAATCCCGAGCAAATGAATTCTATTTTGTTTAAACCTAAGCCATCGCATTTCTGTTCAAATATATTTGCCATTTTTTGTTCTTTTGGAATGTTTAATGAGAAGATTGTTAGCAACCTCATTTGTATGCAAATGATATGGAATTTTTTCTTTCTTTGTAGCTGATTCATTTTGAATTCCTTATATATTATTCCAACTACTGATATGTTGTGTATTGAGGGACTCTAGAACAAAACATCGAGTCCCTTCTCAATTATTTTGCCATTATCATTCCCCAGATTGTGCTATAACAAGTGCTAATTATCTCTTTCTGTTTTGATGAAAGCCAGATTGGACAGCAGTCGGAAAAAAGTGTTGATTTGGATGTCATCTTTTCTTCGTGATTATTCTTCTTTTTTGTCGCAAATAAATATTTCATAAGAGATATAATACTTCACAAATTAGTTTGTATAATTAGAATAATTTAGAAAATTATGACAATAACAAAATTTTCTGTGTCGTTGTTTTTTATTTGACACACATGTCTTAATTTCTAAAAGAATTACCATGTTATAAAATGACAGTGGAAAAATTATGTGTATCCTCTTCCTGATATTGAAGTAATCTTATTATGTATTGGTAATTAGATTAGTTATCAGAAAATTGTGTGGTATCATGAATATCCTTTTTTTCAAAAAAAATCAAATTCATAGAATGTTTTTTTCATTCATAGAAATTTCTTCGAGTGTAATCTAATTAGCCATTTATCTTTTCATTAGATTTCTAATTTTCTAGAATAGTTTCTTTGCGTATGTTTATTATCTATTAAAAAAATCCTGATTTGCAATTAGCATAGTAATAATATGATAATTAGCATAGAATATACCATACTAAACATTGTAATAATACCGTAGTAAAAATGTAACAGCATTTTATATCTATGAAAATTTCTTAGACTATGTTAATAACATTTATTAATACAATGTTTTTCTTGCTTCTTTTATTCATATTTTCCCACATAAATACTCTACTTGTAAAAATTGTTATCATTTCAAAAGTTGATATACCAGGAAATGCGAACATTTGGTGTGTTTAGTAATATACTATAGGTAAAAACCCAGGTATATCCTAATTTAGTTATTAGTTTAGGTTACCAATTTCTTGCTTTTTCTACAACTTAAATTACGGATAATTAAAATTGCAATCTTGATTGCACCACATAATTTTTCGAAAAATTCCCCTGTTTATTTCTGTAACTAAATTACTATTTTTATTTATTTTAGTTTTTATTTGTTTCTTGTTCTAATTCTATTGCTTTTGAATATAAATACAAAACGAAAAAGAATTTATCTAAGTAACGAAAAAATGACGTCCTGTTTGGTGGTTCAACATTTAATAAAAGTGGAACTTCTCTGACAATACTCTTTGAGTTTGAATAATAGTAGCCGTAATGCTGGGGGTAATGGAAGATAATAATTTTTCAACAATTTACATTTTTTTAAAGTTATGTCTGCTTTTTAAACCCTAAAAAAGCTATTTTAAATTTAATAAACAAATAATAATTTTAGATGGTTTTTCAATAAATTAACGAAGTAAATCTATTTTAATCACTTTTATGTACATAGTTTCTTAAAAGTCATATTTTTTTATTATTATTTAACGATTTCAATGTTAGCTTATAATTGTAGTTAGATGTTTAGTTTTATTTATGCACAATTTGTTATTTGTTTTTTTATTGGGAGTACAAATTAGTTCGGTAGGTTTTCAGAAGATGGCTCTAGCTGTTATGAATGTTTCATCGTGACTGCTGGTTTCGGTGGTTTCAGAGAGGTTAGACATCTGTTAATAATATTCAATTTATATCCTTTTGAGTTTCATACAAAAACCCTGCTTTTTACTTTGTTGAATATGTCAAATTTTGCGGTAACTAAGCACCTTTTGCGGGAGATTTTATGTTTCTTTAATTGCAAGAAAAGTACAGCTGAAGCGCTTCGAATACTTGTAGAAGTTTATTGTGACAATGCTCCAACTGATAAATCATGTAAGGAATGGTTTCGACGTTTCAAGAATGGTGAATGGTGCTGTATACTATGAGCTGCTACAACTTGGCGATACCATTTCAAGCGATCAGTATAGGCTACAATTGATTCGTTTGATCCGTGCATTATGAGAAAAACGGCCGGAATATGAGCAAAGACATGACAAAGTTATTTTTCTGCATGATAACTGTCGGCCTCATGTCGCAAAAGTCTTAAAAAATTATTTGGAAACGCTCAAGTGGGATATTTTACCGCACCCGCCTTATTCACTGGACATAGCTCCTTCTGATTACTGGTTGTTCCGACGGATGCAGCACGATTTGGCAGGACACCGGTTCACTTCTTTCGCAGAAATCGAAAATTGGCTCCTAACTAGGATAGCCTCAAAAGACGAGAGATTTTTTCGAGATGGAATTCGAAAATTGCTTGAGAGGTGGGAAAAAGTAGTAGCCAGCGATGGACAATACTTTGATTAATCTGTTCATTCATTTTGTTCTGAAATAAATGCATTTTTGACCGCGAAAAAACGGACAGGACTAATTTGTACTCCCAATAAAAATTTTTAAATATAATTTTTTCATTAATTCAATTATAGATCCAGATATTATACTTTCTATCAATATTATACAATAACTTTTCAAGACACATTTTACTTACTGAAAAAATCAAAAGCTTTCATTTTCGTTTTAATTTATTTCTGTTTTACAGTATTAAACAACTTGCATCTTGTAATTTATTCTAAATTTATAATATAAATTTTTAGATAGGCTACTTACGTTTAATATTCCTACCACTGTTTATCATTTAGTTGTACTGCATAAGAAATAATAATGAGTATATATGTAATTACTAAATGTATGTAAATACTGATCTTGTCACATATGTTTCAATAGTTTGATTGCTAAAATTTACATGGCAGGCAAATGTGATTTCTGACCTTTGTCTCCAACACTCTTTCCTTAAGTTTTCAAACTTTTTCTGAATTTTTTAAAGATAACATCCGCAAATATGGCAGCATAGCAATCAACAGCAATCTTCTTTAAAAGTTTTTTGATTTTAAAATAGTTCAATTCATTATTACTTTCTTTCATATTTTAATTTTCTGACCTTCCCACTGCAGTTTACTGTATCATTATTTCCTTAAAGTTTTATTAATGTCAATAGCTCTAAAAAAGGTAATGTAATGTATGCAAAAATAGCAAATGATCAAAGAATCTAAATATTTTTGAAATGCCTGTTTGATGAGAAAATATACAAAGTGATCTTAAGTGATGCAAAGTGAAAATTTATACAAAGTGCAATATACAAAGCGAAATATACAAAATGAAATATACGAAGTAAAGTATACAAAGTTAAATATACAAAACTAAATATTCAAAATTAAATATACAAAATTAAATATGCAAAGCGAAATATACAAAGTGAAATATCTTCACTACATTGACACGCAATTACACCTAGTATAATCTAGATGAGATAAACAAGATAGATTTAGCGTGTCTTAGCAACAAGTTATTTTTTGATAAGTTAAAAATTACTTCAAAAATTACTTTGCATAGTATTTTTCTTTAAGTATTAATCTATATCAGCAATTTGGCCGGAATAGCCTGGTTGGTAGGGCACTGGGCCCATGTCCAAGAGATCGTGGTTTCGATCCCCGCCGACCGAAGACTCCCCGTGTAGTAAAATGGTGACCGATGCACGTNCAAACCGCCTGCGATAGCCTATTGTGCAGCATTGTGCATTGACTATATTGACGACTAGACGAATTTTATTTCCGTCTTGTGCGACGTAAAAAAGTATCTGCGTTAGTTAGTAAGATGTTCATTAGTAGTCGTAATCCCAAAATTGGGTCGGCTATTCAACGACGATAATATAATATAATATAAAATATATCAGCAATTTTATGTATACTAGAGCATCTGAAGTCTTGAAAGTCTTGTTGATTGCGACGTCGAAAGTCGGGGGACAGCTGATAGTTTCAAGGACCTTTCAATAAATCAAGACATTTTAAATCATAAATTTTAGCACTGGAGTTCTTAAACGGAATTGTGGTATAAATTTATGTTTTATGTAAACGCAATTAAGTGAAAACCAAATTCCTAATCGAACTGTCGAGTCAAATGAGTTGAAACCTTTCTATACAAAATTGGACAAGATCTTTAACTTTTTAGTCTAGGATAACAACAAAATGTGTGAAAATAATTATTTACTGTTGAAGCAAATCGAATCAACAGAATCTATCTATCTTGTTTTAATGCATGTCAAAATTGAAAAGAGAAATTTAAACCACCTGTTATAATGTTTCTCTAAAAACGATTTATTTTACTTCATCTTTTTAGTTCACCGTTTAATTATCATATTCATTTTCTTCTGTTCTTAAAGTAACTAGAAACAGTCGACTTGTTTCCTTTTAGTTCTGGCTGTAACTATCTCATTTTTAATTTCTTTTTAGAAATTCAGATTTTTCTTACAAAGTTATATTAAGCTAATTGGAAATAAAATTTTATACCTCTGTTAAACTTAGGCGTCTGCTCGAATACCTTTAAAATTTACTTTAAGACAATAAGCTCATAATTTGTTTTTGAAAACTAGTTTTAATTAAATTCCGTAAGTAAAGTAATAAATTGGTGCATTTTTTAAATGGGAGAAAAGTAAGTTTATCTATTCATTAATGTATACATTAATATACATTTTCGCATTAATTAAGCATTATAAAACACTTCGTTAAAAAATAAAAATAAAAAAATATAAAAACATGCATATCTTAATTTTTGATCAAACTTTATGATGAATTTTCAAGGTGATAAAAGCTAAGCAAATAGAATTACCATATGACATATTATTTGTCTACGAAAAAACGAAACGTAACGAAAAAAATTAAAGTAATTTCTTGGAAATGTAATTAATTAAAACGTAGGTGAAATATTTTTCATTATAATATTATCTAGCTGTAATGATAGTTTTATTTAAATTTAATTAATACTTATATTTCTTTTCAGTTATAATAACGGGAACTAATATTTTTTTTTCAGAAAGAAATTACATATTCTAAGAAATATTAATTAAGTTTCAAATTAATGGTTATTCTTTGTCGAAATTTTATTTTCTTACTTACTTAATAAATATGAATGCTAAAGAATATTTTCTAAGGTATACTGAAGAATTAAATTCTACTATTATTTTCTTTTTAAATGTATTTTTTTAAGTTTCCTTTCATTTACTCAAATTTTAAAGTAAAATAAAAACAAACGATAAGTATATTTCATTCTATATTTAATTTACAATACATTTTTTTTTTCTAATATAGATTTTAAATTCAAAATGAATTTATTAAAGTGATAGTTAATGATTTTTTTTATCTATTGCTTATACTTCACATAATGTAAGTAACAATAGCGTTTTATAATGTAAAAATAACAAGCGTTATTCTTAATTTAAAAATTATTGTCATACATATTTAACAGTTTGTTATTTT